ATCTCTGTGCGTGATCTCTGTGCGTGATCTCTGTGCGTGATCTCTGTGCGTGATCAGATCTCTGTGCGTGATCTCTGTGCGTGATCCCTGTGCGTGATCCCTGTGCGTGATCCCTGTGCGTGATCCCTGTGCGTGATCCCTGTGCGTGATCCCTGTGCGTGATCCCTGTGCGTGATCCCTGTGCGTGATCTCTGTGCGTGATCTCTGTGCGTGATCTCTGTGCGTGATCTCTGTCTGATCTCTGTGCGTGATCAGATCTCTGTGCGTGATCTCTGTGCTTGATCTCTGTGCGTGATCTCTGTGCGTGATCTCTGTGCGTGATCTCTGTGCGTGATCTCTGTGCGTGATCTCTGTGCGTGATCTCTGTGCGTGATCTCTGTGCGTGATCTCTGTGCGTGATCTGTGTGTGATCTCTGTGCCTGATCTCTGTGCCTGATCTCTGTGCCTGATCTCTGTGCGTGATCTCTGTGCCTGATCTCTGTGCGTGATCTCTGTGCCTGATCTCTGTGCGTGATCTCTGTGCCTGATCTCTGTGCGTGATCTCTGTGCGTGATCTCTGTGCGTGATCTCTGTGCCTGATCTCTGTGCGTGATCTCTGTGTGTGATCTCTGTGCCTGATCTCTGTGCCTGATCTCTGTGCGTGATCTCTGTGCCTGATCTCTGTGCGTGATCTCTGTGTGTGATCTCTGTGCGTGATCTCTGTGCCTGATCTCTGTGCGTGATCTCTGTGTGTGATCTCTGTGCCTGATCTCTGTGCGTGATCTCTGTGCGTGATCTGTGTGTGATCTCTGTGTGATCTCTGTGCCTGATCTCTGTGCCTGATCTCTGTGCGTGATCTCTGTGCGTGATCTCTGTGCGTGATCTCTGTGCCTGATCTCTGTGCCTGATCTCTGTGCCTGATCTCTGTGCGTGATCTCTGTGTGTGATCTCTGTGTGTGATCTCTGTGTGTGATCTCTGTGTGTGATCTCTATGTGTGATCTCTGTGTGTGATCTCTGTGTGTGATCTCTATGCCTGATCTCTGTGCGTGATCTCTGTGCCTGATCTCTGTGCGTGATCTCTGTGTGTGATCTCTGTGTGTGATCTCTGTGCGTGATCTCTGTGCGTGATCTCTGTGTGTGATCTCTGTGTGTGATCTCTGTGTGTGATCTCTATGTGTGATCTCTGTGTGTGATCTCTGTGTGTGATCTCTGTGTGTGATCTCTATGCCTGATCTCTGTGCGTGATCTCTGTGCCTGATCTCTGTGCGTGATCTCTGTGTGTGATCTCTGTGTGTGATCTCTGTGCGTGATCTCTGTGTGTGATCTCTATGCCTGATCTCTGTGCGTGATCTCTGTGCCTGATCTCTGTGTGTGATCTCTGTGTGTGATCTCTGTGTGTGATCTCTGTGTGTGATCTCTGTGCGTGATCTCTGTGTGTGATCTCTGTGTGTGATCTCTGTGTGTGATCTCTATGCCTGATCTCTGTGCGTGATCTCTGTGCCTGATCTCTGTGCGTGATCTCTGTGCGTGATCTCTGTGTGTGATCTCTGTGCCTGATCTCTGTGCGTGATCTCTGTGCGTGATCTCTGTGCCTGATCTCTGTGCCTGATCTCTGTGCGTGATCTCTGTGTCTGATCTCTGTGTGCGATCTCTGTGTGCGATCTCTGTGTGCGATCTCTGTGTGCGATCTCTGTGCGTGATCTCTGTGCGTGATCTCTGTGCGTGATCTCTGTGCGTGATCTCTGTGCGTGATCTCTGTGCGTGATCTCTGTGCGTGATCTCTGTGCCTGATCTCTGTGCGTGATCTCTGTGCGTGATCTCTGTGCGTGATCTCTGTGCGTGATCTCTGTGCGTGATCTCTGTGCGTGATCTCTGTGCGTGATCTCTGTGCGTGATCTCTGTGCGCGATCTCTGTGTGTGATCTCTGTGTGCGATCTCTGTGCGTGATCTCTGTGCGTGATCTCTGTGCGTGATCTCTGTGCCTGATCTCTGTGCCTGATCTCTGTGCGTGATCTCTGTGTGTGATCTCTGTGCGTGATCTCTGTGTGTGATCTCTGTGCCTGATCTCTGTGCGTGATCTCTGTGTGTGATCTCTGTGCCTGATCTCTGTGCGTGATCTCTGTGTGTGATCTCTGTGTGTGATCTCTGTGCCTGATCTCTGTGTGTGATCTCTGTGCGCGATCTCTGTGCGCGATCTCTGTGCGTGATCTCTGTGCCTGATCTCTGTGCCTGATCTCTGTGCGTGATCTCTGTGCGTGATCTCTGTGCGTGATCTCTGTGCGTGATCTCTGTGCGTGATCTCTGTGCGTGATCTCTGTGCGTGATCTCTGTGCCTGATCTCTGTGCGTGATCTCTGTGTGTGATCTCTGTGCCTGATCTCTGTGCGTGATCTCTGTGCGTGATCTCTGTGTGTGATCTCTGTGCGTGATCTCTGTGTGTGATCTCTGTGCGTGATCTCTGTGTGTGATCTCTGTGCCTGATCTCTGTGTGTGATCTCTGTGTGTGATCTCTGTGTGTGATCTCTGTGCCTGATCTCTGTGTGTGATCTCTCTGTCTGATCTCTGTGCGTGATCTCTGTGTGTGATCTCTGTGTGTGATCTCTGTGCGTGATCTCTGTGCGTGATCTCTCTGTCTGATATCTGTGCGTGATCTCTGTGTGATCTCTGTGCGTGATCTCTGTCTGATATCTGTGTGTGATCTCTGTGCGTGATCTCTGTGCGTGATCTCTGTGCCTGATCTCTGTGCCTGATCTCTGTGCGTGATCTCTGTGCGTGATCTCTGTGCGTGATCTCTGTGCCTGATCTCTGTGCGTGATCTCTGTGCGTGATCTCTGTGCGTGATCTCTGTGCGTGATCTCTGTGCCTGATCTCTGTGTGTGATCTCTGTGCGTGATCTCTGTGTGATCTCTGTGCCTGATCTCTGTGCGTGATCTCTGTGCGTGATCTCTGTGCGTGATCTCTGTGCGTGATCTCTGTGTGTGATCTCTGTGCCTGATCTCTGTGTGTGATCTCTCTGTCTGATCTCTGTGCGTGATCTCTATATAATATGTGCGTATATCTCTGTGTGTGATCTCTGTGCCTGATCTCTGTGCCTGATCTCTGTGCGTGACAGACGGTGTTCTCTGAGGTGGTGGGAGGGAAGAAACGAAAGCAAGATACTGAAACCAGCAGTAAGAAAACATTACCAGGAAAAGATGAAGAGTTCTACATCCCGTACAGACCCAAAGACTTCGACTCAGAGCGAGGGTACGGCCGGCTCCTTCTTTATTATTATTATTATTATTATATATAATATGCTTTATTATTATTCAACATGTTCAATTTGGAAACTGCTAAATCTGGTGTGTGTGCGCATGCATCTGGGTGTGTGTGTGTGTGTAGGCTGAGTCTCGGGGCGGATGCGGGCTCGTTCGAGCATCAGGCCTCCTCTGCAGTTCTGGATCTGATGGGTGACGAGAGCAAGTCTTTAAATCAACACAAGAGCCTGATGAAGTGGTGAGCAGCGCCGGCTTTTACACGCGTGACCCTGTGCACACGCCTGCTTATCCTGACACACACGTGTTCTTATCCTGACACACACGTGTGTTCTCCGCAGGGATCGCAAGAGGAAGCGCTTCGTTCGTGACACGGGTAAAGACGACAAACACAAGAAGGTCAGGACAGAGAGTGGAACGGTGGTCAGCGGCAAGAAGAAGAAAAAGAACTTGTATCCTTCTGGAAAAGAGTCTTTTCGTAACACATCGTTTCAGAGCAGCTTTACAGGAACTCATAATGTTAATGTTGTTTGTCTTCATTTCTAACAGCAGGTTAGATTTGGGCGATGGGATGGTTTACATTCAGAGACGATATAAACAATCAAGCCCAAGACTTTAGTCACACTTGAACCACGAATACACAAAAAAATGAAAGGATTCGAGGAGTTTTGTGGTTGAAATTTTAAAGTAACAAATCCTTCCATCGCCGGTCAATTTGAGCCCTTAAGAATGAATGGAATGTGAGGAATGCTTTAGTACACATAGAAAAACCTAAAAATTTTCTAAATTCAAACTAAAAATGCTAAAACTTTACCAAAAAGGATTATTGTATAATGTCTACATGTGTATGTGAATGGACACTGAAGTGAACTGGCTTTAGGACCCAGCGGAACAGCTCCTCTGCTCCATATAGAGCTATAAGTCCATCTAGAGGCATGAAATATCATGTTATATTATTATTTTTCCATAAGAGATCAGCAGAGACTCCCAATATAAGATATTTTGAGCTGAATTTTAAAGGGTTATGCATGAAATTGTAAGTTATTTTGAATTTAAGTTGAAAGAATGTGAGGAATTTATTTATCAAATTTAGTAATTTAAAGGTAAATAAAATAAAAAATAAAAAACAACTCCAAAAAAATAAATAAAAAACAACTCCAAAAAAAAAATATATATATATATATATATATATATATACAGGTCCTTCTCAAAAAATTAGCATATTGTGATAAAGTTCATTATTTTTCATAATGTAATGATAAAAATTAAACTTTCATATATTTTAGATTCATTGCACACCAACTGAAATATGTCAGGTCTTTTATTGTTTTAATACTGATGATTTTGTCATACAGTTCATGAAAACCCAAAATTCCTGTCTAAAAAAATTAGCATATTTCATCCGACCAATAAAAGAAGTGTTTTTAATAAAAAAAAAAAAAAAGTCAACCTTCAAATAATTATGTTCAGTTATGCACTTAATAGTCAATACTTGGTCGGGAATCCTTTTGCAGAAATGACTGCTTCAATGCGGCGTGGCATGGAGGCAATCAGCCTGTGGCACTGCTGAGGTGTTATGGAGGCCCAGGATGCTTCGATAGCGGCCTTAAGCTCATCCAGAGTGTTGGGTCTTGCGTCTCTCAACTTTCTCTTCACAATATCCCACAGATTCTCTATGGGGTTCAGGTCAGGAGAGTTGGCAGGCCAATTGAGCACAGTAATACCATGGTCAGTAAACCATTTACCAGTGGTTTTGGCACTGTGAGCAGGTGCCAGGTCGTGCTGAAAATGAAATCTTCATCTCCATAAAGCTTTTCAGCAGATGGAAGCATGAAGTGCTCCAAAATCTCCTGATAGCTAGCTGCATTGACCCTGCCCTTGATAAAACACAGTGCACCAACACCAGCAGCTGACATGGCACCCCAGACCATCACTGACTGTGGGTACTTGACACTGGACTTCAGGCATTTTGGCATTTCCTTCTCCCCAGTCTTCCTCCAGACTCTGGCACCTTGATTTCCGAATGACATGCAAAACTGAGCAACAGTCCAGTGCTGCTTCTCTGTAGCCCAGGTCAGAAACAGGTTCAAAAGTGGCTTGACCTGGGGAATGCGGCACCTGTAGCCCATGTCCTGCACACGCCTGTGCACGGGGGCTCTGGATGTTTCTACTCCAGACTCAGTCCACTGCTTCCGCAGGGTCCCCAAGCTCTGGAATCGGTCCTTCTCCACAATCTTCCTCAGGGTCCGGTCACCTCTTCTCGTTGTGCAGCGTTTTTTGCCACACTTTTTCCTTCCCACAGACTTCCCACTGAGGTGCCTTGATACAGCACTCTGGGAACAGCCTATTTGTTCAGAAATTTCTTTCTGTCTTACCCTCTTGCTTGAGGGTGTCAATGATGGCCTTCTGGACAGCAGTCAGGTCGGCAGTCTTACCCATGATTGCGGTTTTGAGTAATGAAACAGGCTGGGAGTTTTTAAAAGCCTCAGGAATCTTTTGCAGGTGTTTAGAGTTAATTAGTTGATTCAGATGATTAGGTTAATAGCTCGTTTAGAGACCCTTTTCATGATATGCTAATTTTTTGAGACAGGAATTTTGGGTTTTCATGAGCTGTATGCCAAAATCATCAGTATTAAAACAATAAAAGACCTGAAATATTTCAGTTGGTGTGCAATGAATCTAAAATATATGAAAGTTACATTTTTATCATTACATTATGGAAAATAATGAACTTTATCACAATATGCTCATTTTTTGAGAAGGACCTGTATATCATAATGAAAAATAAGCTTTCTGGACAAAAAAAAATTAAGTATAATTTTAGCGCTTCGGGTAATTTTGACCCACGAGGGAAAGATGTGTTACAAGGTGTGAATAAAACCTATGCACAGACGAATTGTTCAAAATAAGATCTAAAACATTAGGTGATTTTTAATTTCATGCCAGTTTTACAAGAATAAATTGAGCGTGAATTGTAACGGTTGTCACTGTGTTCATGAAGGAGAATTCAAACATTTTAATTTGATTATCGCTACAGATTTCTGCGCCGAACATTAACCCTGATGTGAACAGGCCTTGGGGCCAGGAAGAGGAATTAAGAAAGAGGTGTTGGTCCCATGTGGACTTGTGAAGGTCTGATGTGAATACTTGCGTGTCAGTTGGTTTTCCTGACTTTGGTCCAGTTATGAAGAATGGAAGAAGAAGAATAAGATGGATGACCGCGAGTCGGACTCGGATGGTGAAACTGGAGCGTCGAGAGGGAGGAACTCCGGCGGTAAGAGACCAATGCTAAGTCCCACTTCCCCTACTTAAACTACGCCTTAAAGTATGAACTCTTTTTGTGAAGAAAAAGTACATCATTTTTGAGTGTTTTGCAAAAGAGTAGCCAAGCTTTGGGACATAGTACTTCGTCATCTTTAACAGACAGCTTACGTGCTTAAACGTCCTCCATGTCTGTAGTTTTTTAACTCTTTTCACTTGTGTTTGTAGTTCTAATCGAATCCTCGAAATTAGCCGTTAGCGTGTTCGCGGATCTGCACTTCGGATTCTGACCGGAAAAAGTAGACCATCCGGGTCTCTTTCAAACACTCATTTCAACATACTACGATTTGAGACGTACTAATTTTATTTTCGAATACTATTTAGGACGGATAGTATGCGAATTAGGACGCACCGAAAGATTGTGTTGTAAAATCATCCAGTGATCACATGACGTCCGCTCTCTCGAGTACTAGTGTGTTTGTGTTGTGGTTTCTTCAGGTCGTGGAGGAAGAGGAGGGGCTTATGGCCAGTCGAGAGGAAGAGGAGGGGGTTATGGCCAGTCGGGAGGAAGAGGAGGGGGTTATGGCCAGTCGGGAGGAAGAGGAGGAGCTCGTGGCCAGTCGGGAGGAAGAGGAGGAGCTCGTGGCCAGTCGGGAGGAAGAGGAGGAGCTCATGCCGAGAGTGGCTCGCGTGTGCGATCGGAGCTGAAGAACCGCGATCAGATCCTCAAGCTACGCAAGCGTAAAGCGAAACAGCAGTTCCTGCAGAGCGGCGGCATGAAGAAGTTGCGCGCCAAAGGAAAGCAGCGGCTACAGGAAGTGATGCGGTCTGGCTTCGGGCGCGGCGGCAACAAGAAGGGAAAGATGAGGAAGAGACTTTAATAGAGGAATCGATACGAACAATCACGCTTCCACGGAAAACAAGATGGACGCCTGAAACTCTTTTACTGAAACGTTTCATGCTCATGTTTCTCTTTGTCTGCATTAAAAGAGATGTTTTGCTTCAACTATCGACAGAATGTCCATTACCACTGAAAATAATTTCCACTGCAGTTTGGTTGTTAAACAATTACTAAAGGCGTCAGTTACAGTAAGACCCTACAGTGCAAACGGCAGCACAACTTTATACGGTTCACATGAGATTGGTGTGATAGAAATGTTTACTGAACTTTAGTCTTTAAATGTCAGTCATCATGGACACGTGACTCCAGGAGAGCCTGCGAGTTTCACTTTATGTGTGACAGGTTCTCAAAACCCCTTAAATTAAGAAACCCTTTAATGATTAATTTGTTTATAATTATGCTAAGGGTTCACTCTTAAAGTTGACATGAAACTGAAGTTGTGTTCGTCTTTTCTTCCCTATTGTTTCGTATATCCGAGTGAAACGCTTCTGGAACAAGATCAAATGTAAAAAAATAAAGGTTTGCTATTGGCTGATCTCATGTGAGTGACAGGTTATAGCCCTGCCCTCGTCATCAGAGGAGATGCTGCAAGAGGAACTTATTCTGATTCAAGTTTATTATCTCAATGATGTGCACCCATAAATCATTTAGAATAAACGATATTCAACAAGAATAAGTACTGTTTTAATTTCATGGTGACTAGCAAGCATGTACATTAAAAAGTTCCCTTATAACAGGATAATTTATTGATTGTGGTCCTAATTAAGTGGAAAAAAGGCATTCTACACAGAATACAGACATTTCTGCACAAATGTTTTACAAAAAAATTATATATAATATCTAGTTTTACACTATTTGCCTCGACATCTAGAGGGATTGTAGTAGTGGTGTCCGAAACCGTAGTGGATGTTATTGAGTGCTCTCATTCAATCCCATAATGCACGAGTGACAGAGGTCAAGATAAATCTTTTCATCTTACTACTGGAGATATTAGTTTGCTGAGTTTCAAATGATAAACAGCAAGCACAAACTTTGCAACATCGGGAGCCCTTCCGGCGCACTATATTCACTCCTTCATTAAGTGAACTATAATAGAGGATTAATGTGTGGAATATTGAGTTAGGGTTATTTCGTACACATCCTGTCATTTGTATGCGCAATCTTCCCAGTGTGATTCCAGCGCGCATGCGTCACAGGAATTCTTCCCGCGCCGACATTTGAATATTAACGTGAGTGATGAGGAAGTGACGCACCTGGACGCGGTAAGTCCCGCTGAATTATGATAATGATGAAGATTATGGTGTAATATGACGTGTAACATTGATGGCTTGTGAAATGGAAAACTCCTAAAGTGGTTAAGCACCTAATATTCCCTTTCACACATCTCAGTATTACCGTAAAATTACCAGAATGACTTTACCGGTAAATATGCTGTTGACACAACGTCATTCTGTTTACTATGAATAAATGTGTTCGTAATCAATGGTCTTAATAATTGTAACGGTCTCATCTCGCGTGTTTAATTTCTTTCCCGCGCGCAGCTGCAAAACATTCCTGAGGTAAATAAAGCTAAATTTATGTTCCAAACCCACAAGACCTTCGTTCATCTTTGAAACACAAAATAGTATATATTTTTAATTTTCTAGTATCTTCACTTTTGTCCATCCATTGCACAACCAAGATTTTCATGCCTCAAAAAGGTCATTATGACATTGTAAACTAATCTATATGAATTAAGTGCTTTAAGTCCTCTGAAGAGACTTTATATGATTTAATTTAGCATTTTATTCACATAATGATCAAGTAAACGGCAAGCTGACTTTGACTGAAGACCATAATGTCTAACTTTATGAAAAGAGAGTTTCATAAGTTCAGAAAGGGTTGACTTGGGATCAAGGTGCTTGTACTTCAAAAGTAAGACATTTGATTGATATAATATATGATATGAGCCCTTTAATATATTCATCTGATCCCCGGAGGAATGTTTTCAAGAGCTCCAGCATGTGAACTATTAAAGCCCTTCTGATAGCAGCTAAGACCAGAGAGAGCTGCACTTCCAGCTTTCCAATCAGGGAAGAGGAGCGAGTCTTATCAGCGTTCCCAGTTATCAGCGTTCCCAGGCCGGACACGCCGTCCTCTCCACAAGCGCTGAGCTGCTTATCCATGTGGAGTGCAGCCATTATTAGCCTGTCAATCAGGCTCCGGGGTCACGGACGCTCCGGGTGTGTTTCCCGTATAACGCCGTAACTCGCGGCTTCACTGCCAGAGAGCGATGCATCGTTGAGGAAATCAGCTAGCTAGTCACGACTGTTTCCCGAAACCATACTGTCACAAATCGGGCGTTCAACCGTGTTGGTTAATGATGTCACGCCGGTGTTGGAGTAATTACTACTGTTAATGAATCTGTTTGAGATCGAATAATGCTGGATGTTTTGCTATAAATTACAGACATGACATCTGAGTCTATTTCTCATTTTTCTCAGTTATTTTGCTTTAATTCCAGATTCAATCATAGGCTCGTTCTACACAACTGCTGATAACGACAGAACTTGAGACCATAGTTGGCTAACGATGCTTTTGGGAAACGCACTCCTGTCCGGAGAAACGGCTCGACGGCACACGACCGCTGCCAAACGAGGCCCTTCATGATATGCTGTTTGTCTTCTGTTGTGTTGTCTGCATTCAGGTGAAATGCTCTGATTGAACGCCTGAGCACTGATTGGACGCCGTCGCTCAGGTGAAACACTCTGATTGGACGCCTGAGCACTGATTGGATGCCGTCACTCAGGTGAAACGCTTTGATTGGACGCCGTCGCTCAGGTGAAACGCTCTGATTGGACGCCGTCGTTAAGGTGAAACGCTCTGATTGGACGCCGTCGTTAAGGTGAAACGCTTTGATTGGACGCCGTCGTTCAGGTGAAACGCTCTGATTGGACGCCGTCGTTCAGGTGAAACGCTCTGATTGGACGCCGTCGTTCAGGTGAAACGCTCTGATTGGACGCCGTCGTTCAGGTGAAACGCTCTGATTGGACGCCGTCGTTCAGGTGAAACGCTCTGATTGGACGCCGTCGTTCAGGTGAAACGCTTTGATTGGACGCCGTCGTTCAGGTGAAACGCTCTGATTGGACGCCGTCGTTCAGGTGAAACGCTCTGATTGGACGCCGTCGCTCAGGTGAAACGCTCTGATTGGACGCCGTCGCTCAGGTGAAACGCTCTGATTGGACGCCGTCGCTCAGGTGAAACGCTCTGATTGGACGCCGTCGTTCAGGTGAAACGCTCTGATTGGACGCCGTCGTTCAGGTGAAACGCTCTGATTGGACGCCGTCGTTCAGGTGAAACGCTCTGATTGGACGCCGTCGCTCAGGTGAAACGCTCTGATTGGACGCCGTCGTTCAGGTGAAACGCTCTGATTGGACGCCGTCGTTCAGGTGAAACGCTCTGATTGGACGCCGTCGCTCAGGTGAAACGCTCTGATTGGACGCCGTCGTTCAGGTGAAACGCTCTGATTGGACGCCCTCGTTCAGGTGAAACGCTCTGATTGGACGCCGTCGTTCAGGTGAAACGCTCTGATTGGACGCCGTCGTTCAGGTGAAACGCTCTGATTGGACGCCCTCGTTCAGGTGAAACGCTCTGATTGGACGCCGTCGTTCAGGTGAAACGCTCTGATTGGACGCCGTCGTTCAGGTGAAACGCTCTGTCTCGTCATCCTATAATCCTCTGTCTCTGCGTGTGTGAAGTGTAGCCGGACGACGCTTCAGACTCTCACACACACACACACACACACACACACCACTGGGTTTGGGCATTTCTACTGCGTGATCAATATAAGCACAACGGCTCATACGCTCATCGTCCCAGAAATGGATAAATATTGAGTCTGCTGTTTAAAACAAATAAAGAACCAATGTAGTAGAACGGTTATTATGCGCAGACATCGGGAAACTCTGTATATTCGTGAGCGTATGTCAAAAAATATATTCCGATTTGAATCGTGTGACGTATAAACACACACATATAAACACACACATCCACGATCACATGTTCAGCTCCGTGTTCGGATTTATCAATCGGATCGATTTCATTCCGATGGAACCAAAAGCTGTCCATGTAAACGCAGCTACTGACTAGATATATTTAGAATAAGTAGGACACTTTTTACACAAATATTCTTCCATTGCATTATTATACATTATTACACGGCTCTGTGGAATACTTGATTCTGATTGGTCGATCACTCATCCAGCGGTGGATTATTCCCAGATAACAGCAGAGACACAGGCTCATCCGGTCAGTGACGTCATCAGCGCTACACACTCGCTAGGAGCGGTCTTTCCCCGTGGAAGTTTTGCGTTTGGTGAGGTAATAAAATATTAAAACTCAGTTGAATCAATATTTAGTGTAGAGTTATTTAATTATGCCGTCCAGTATCGTGGACTCGCTCGCTCATGTTTCACACAAACGCAGCGGCGGCCATTCTGAGACTATTGTTTTGTTCACTGTCGGATTATAAAATATAAACGTATGATTTTAAAACAGTTTAATCTGAAATCAATATCTCTGATCTCCATAATTATTAATGTGTTGAAATGCTGTGTAATAAGTGTTATGACTGTAAACCGTATCTCTTGAATGTCCGTGATCTCGCCGCTGAAACTCCTCTCTAAGAAGCTCTGAAATATGTGTGTGTGTGTGTGTTTGTGATCTCAGAATAAACCCCTGCTTCAGGTGTGTGTGTGTGTGTGTGTGTGTGTGATCTCAGAATAAACCCCTTCAGGTGTGTGTGTGTGTGTGTGTGTGTGTGATCTCAGAATAAACCCCTTCAGGTGTGTGTGTGTGTGTGTTTGTGATCTCAGAATAAACCCCTGCTTCAGGTGTGTGTGTGTGTGTGTTTGTGATCTCAGAATAAACCCCTGCTTCAGGTGTGTGTGTGTGTGTGTTTGTGATCTCAGAATAAACCCCTTCAGGTGTGTGTGTGTGTGTGTGTGTGTGTGATCTCAGAATAAACCCCTGCTTCAGGTGTGTGTGTGTGTGTGTGTGTGTGATCTCAGAATAAACCCCTTCAGGTGTGTGTGTGTGTGTGTGTGATCTCAGAATAAACCCCTTCA